GCGGTCTAGATCTCCCTTTCCGGGATCGGTGTAAGTCTGCTCCCAACGCCTTCAACCCTGGTACGCATCGTACAGAGTGTGTGCACCGGGGTATTATTCCTTCTTATTATGTCGCTCCAGGTGGTCTTACGATCTTAAGAAGAGACAACGCATTCCATCCCAGTCGCCTCGTCTACTTCTCTTTTATACCAATCCAATCCCATCTCCCTCCTACCCCACGCCTTCGAAACCCTCAGACACCATATAACTACTTAGCCATCTCCATCCCCAGCGCAATCCCGGCCAAATAAACCAACCACCCATCAACTCCTCCCTCAGCAAGGACCAAAGAAATATTTCAATCAAAAAATAAATAAAACCAATCCACAATGGCAGACCCCCGCTCGACATCCTTACGTGCCCTTCGCCTCCTAGCCGCCCAGCAACATGGCCCAATCCCTTTCTCGGCCCTTGCCTCCATGGCGCCCTTCCGCCGCTCGCTACATATCACGGGTGCATTCTCCGCCCAAACCGCCCGCGGACCCGACATCACGGCCATCTACCGCTCGCGCGGCATGTGCGACCTGCGTGCGGAATGCGAGAGGAGGAATCTTAGGAGTGCGGGGAGTAAGGCGGAGGTATGCTTTTTTTTTTTTCCCCTTTTGTAGATATATTTCTATTTGTTTAAGCAAGCAAGGAACATGTATAGCTTACTTAGATATATAAAACTGTATAGCTCGTGGACCGGCTGGCGAACCATGACGTTCTCCAATCTCGCGCGTTTAGCATTGCGATGAGGAAGATTCATAGTCGCGCTGCGGAAACGGGAAGGTATGTTCTAGCAAACCACCCCCAACTCCCAACAAAGTATTAAATAATCAAATAAACTAACAAACCCCCTCCCCAAATAGCTCATCCCGGCCCCTCAACACCTCCCGCGCCCAAAAATACGTCAACGACTCCTCAACCATCGACTTCGTCTACATGCCCCAGGACATCGACCCCTTCCCCTCCGCCTCCGCCATAAACGGCACCCCCATCCCCGTCCTCCCAGACGATTACTCCCACTACCAACTCACCACCAACGGCGACACCACCAGCGCCATGAAACCCCAGATCTACACCGTCTCCGGCGACTACGATGCCTCGTTACCTGCCAGCGGGAACGGCAGGGGTGCTCCTGTTGCTGCTGGTGGCGGCGCAAGCGCGATGAGCGAGGTCGTCGATAATCATGCGGTGGAGTTTGATCCGTTTGAGCTTACGGAGACGGTGAGGCGGGCGCGGGAGGGGGAGGCGCTGGTGAGGGAGCGGGCGGCGATGGCGGACGGGACGGTTAAGGGGGTTGCGGCGCAGTTTTGGAAAGGGGTCGTGGAGGATGTGTGGGGGAATGGGGGGAGGGGGCTTGAGGGGCGGAGGTAGTGGGACTTTGAGTGGTTTGTGAGTTGGGGGAGTGTCGTTATTGGTAAGAGAGAGACATGACATGGTCCTGTCTTTCTTCCTTCTATTTCATTTCATCTGCACTTTTTTTAATCTTATATTTTATTTTTTTTCTTTTTGTTTTTTGTTTCATTGAGATGCAGAGACACTGTAAAGTATGTGTGGTACAGTGTATAGATGTAGCTTTAGTTCAGCTTGACATGGTGAATATGCTTTTTTAATAACTAGTCATTCTTTTTTATATGTACACAGTACACCTTTCTATAGTTATTATTGTTCTCTTGACTCTTTTAAATATATTTCATACTGTACATTTTGCATTGCATCACATGTTCTCACATCATCTTTTTCTTTGTCTTTCATTCTAAGATAGCAATGAATGTGCAAATGCATGCAATGAAAAGCAGGCAGCTTAATATAAATTTATTGAAGTCTTGAGCATTGTGTGAACTACACCTGAGATATATGTCGGATTCCCTCTACGGGCCGACCGCTTCCGCCTAAGCGAGGTGTTCGCCGATCGCTTGGCGAACGCCTAACACACATAAAAAGCCGCACAATAGCTAGATCTTAATAATATAACCAACTACTCTACCATATCACCTTCATCAGGTTATGTCTCTTCTTGCACATAAGAATCTGCTAATTCTTTTAACAAAAAATCAAATTCTTACACTTCATGCTTAAATTGAAGACTCAATTGCATTTTGAAACACTGTATTAGTGATTCTGCAGCTGCTTATAAGTTATTACAGATTAAAAAGAACTCTGTTAATTTTAAAATTAATTAATCTGCTATAAACTTTTATAACAAGTCTGTAAATAATCTCTGCATTCTTATATAAATAGAAGTATAGATAGTGAATATACTTATATATAAATAGCTTTATTATTAAAGAGAATATTATCTCACTTAAATCTATATTAATTATTAAAAGTGAAAGATATTTAATATATATTATAAGAGGTCTACGCTGAATAGATTAATATAATATTGATAGATTTTATATAATAAAGAGAAAAATATTAGAGAAGAAAAGAAAGAGAAAGTGTAAGAATCAGTAATTAAAGTGAATATTTATATATGTATGTGATAATGTATGCAGTGATACTTCAGAGTGAAAGAATATACACATGTTTATAGTAACTGAGAATCAGTGATTGAAATATACATGTTTATAGCAGCTGAGAATCAGTGATCAGAAATGAGATGATAGAAATCTATGAAGTGTATAGAATAGTCTATATAATTAATCAGATGTAGTCTGTTACATTAGTTTCTTCTTTTCAGAAGTAGTTCTTATTAATTAAGAGCTGCTGTTTCAGATAATACAGAACTCAGAGTTCAGATCAGTTAATTATAGTTAACTCATTTCATAAGATATTATTAACTATGACTGTATAATCTCTTATCAAGAATATCTTTAATCTCTTACTTAAGCTCATTATCTTCTTCTATAATCTCTGACAGTTGTTAGTTAGAAGTTAGTTAAGAAGAGAACAGATCAGTGATAATATAGTAAAGTAAGCTTGTATGAAAGATATCATGAATTTCTGATAATATATTAAAATAGTAGTTATGACTATTTAGAACTTCTATCATTTTATACTTAACATAATAGTCATCTAGTGTATAAGATGAATATGTGATTCATATATTCTTAAGATTCAATCATACTAGATCTTCTATCTTATATTATTTAGTGAGATCTCAGTGAATATTGATTTAATTCTCTTAATCTTATTTTACAGTTGTTATAAAGATCTCTGCTCAATCACAGATATTTTAAAGTTTTATTACTATATTATCAGTGATCTGAATCAGACTATAAGAGTCTGATATAAACTGTGTAATCTCTAAAAGATTTAACACTTTCATATAATAACTGTGTGTAAGAAAGAACAGGCTTATATCTGTTAAAATAATATCTTATTCATTGATAGTGATGTCTGTATATAGAAGCAGATTATATCAATCATCTTATAAGTAATTACAGAACTTATAGAGATAGTTCTTTACAGTCTGAATTATCTATTCTGATGCATTATCAGTCTCAGAGTGATAGATAGTTAATAGATAATATATAATCTTAAGAACTTGACAGATTCTTGTTCAGAGAGTGCTTATGAATTGACAGCTCTGATCTAATACTATAGATCTCAGCAATTCATACATTCAATAGAATGAGCTTCTTAGAAAAGCTTCAGTGACTTATTCAGTATTCATCTTATCACAGAATTTCAATATAATATTCTTACTCAATCAGCTTATAATAATCAGAACATTTCTACAGTTCTTACTCTTAGAGAGATTAATAGTGAAGTTAATTATCACATCTTATCAGATTTTATCAGAGATATCAAGTGATTTCAGCAGGCCTTTTCTACAGTTCTTTTACAAGATAATGAAGAAATAATAGTTACAGTTTCAGATAAAACATCTGATACTGTTTAATATCTTAGATCAGTAGAACTTCTGAGAGATTATTTAATACAGTTATTTATAATCTGAATAACTGATTATATATAAATCATGCATCTCTTGTATTATCTGAGTGTGTAAGAATTCAGAGTAGAGAACTCAACATCACTTATGAAACTATAGAGTATTATTATCATTAATTGAGTATTCTGAGATGTCAGTTCTTATACATAGTTCTGAGAAGAATCAGAGTGTTTCTTGATATACTGCTTCAGTAAGTGTTTAAAGAAGTTCATCAGTTTAAGCTGTTATATATCATAATTCATTCAGTGTAGATTTGAGAGAAGTCAAGATATCAGTATCAGTATCAGTGTCAGTTCAGAGAGAGAATGTTCTAATCAGAGAAGTATGTATAGTGTCATGAGTTGTTTCATCTTGATTAACTAGTATCTTCAGATTCAAGAGCTGATGCTCTTGATTCATTCAGTGAGTATCTGTTATATCAGATAATATATCTTACTCTTATTATAAGAGAGCATCTGTCATTGAGTTCTGACTGTTAGAACAGTAGTGTATTATAAAATAAAAGCAGCTTAAGAACTCAGATCATTGTATCTATCATTCAGTGAGTTTATAAGTAGTTATAAAGTATTTGAGATTCTTATGATCTATGACTATCTCAAATTCAGAGACACTTTAAAGTTCAGAGTCTCATTCTTCTAAATAGTATACAATTGTAAGAAGTTTCTTATTATAGATTTTATAATTGCATTCAGCAGGACTCAGTTTCTTAGATATGAAAACACATAATTATAGAATATCTTCATCATTATATTATAATATTACTCTCTCTATTACATAGTCAGAGAAATCAGCTTCAATAACTGTCTTATAATTAGAATTGAATATTATTAGAAGAGAGATATTAATGAACATCTTCTTCATCTATATAAATGCAGCTTCAGTGTCTGCTGATTATTGAAATACTGTATCTTTCTTAGTAAGTTCTGTAAGTGATCTTACAATATCTGAGAAGTTTTATATAAATTGCTGATAGAAGTTAGCAAATCTGATGAAGCTTTATACATCTTTCATAGTGTACAGAGTCTCTCATTCAAGAATAGTAGAGATCTTCTCAGAATTCATTCAGATTTTCTTATCAGCTTCTATGATGAAATCTAAGTATTTAGTACTCTTGACTTTGAAATCACACTTGTCAATATCAATTGATAGTTTCACTTCTTATAGTCATTGTAATACTCTTTACACATACTCTTAATATTTCTTTCTGAATTCATCAGTGAAGATGAGAATGTCATCTAGATAAATAAATACAAATTTATCAAGAAAGTCTCAGAATGCTCAGTTGATATACTTCTGAAATATACTGAGAACATTGACTAGTTCAAAGAGTGTGACTACTCATTCAAAGAGATTATATCATATTCAGAATACTGTAAGCTACTCATCTTCTTCAGTAATACAGATCTTATGAAATGCAGTGATAACATCTAATTTTGTAAATTATTAAGCTTATTCAATGTGAGCTAGAGTCTCATTAATAAGAGATAAAGAATAACAGTCTTTCTTTATTAATCTGTTCAATTCTCAATAATTCACACAGAACTGAAGTTCTTCACCTGATTTCTTTACAAAGAGAATAGAGACTGTGACAGAAGAGTTACTAATATATATGAATTCTTTATTTAACAGATTATTGAGTGTCTTTCAAAGAAGAAGAAGTTCATCTCAGAACATGTTATAAAGAGAGTCTTATAACAGTTCAGAGTTCTTATCATTCTTTTTCTTTAACTTGATACTGTAATTCACTTCAGAATCTTGTAAGAGAAGTATATTTATAATATTATTTTATCAAAAGATATCTAGATATTCATGATATTATTAAGAGAGTTTTATATAAGAATCTATTATTATAACACAGAATAACTTTTCTAGAGCCTTTTTAATATTGATTAGACTGATAGAATAGATTGATATATAATTTTACTATCAGTGAACTTATTAATGACTCTGTCAGTGATTTTAATAATGACTTCTTTTTCAGAGTATTTTATAAGTGTTGACAGAGATCTGTGTAAGATTTATAGTCTTATAAATATCATCTTCATGAATCCTGTTATTATTAGAAAATATCAAGCTTCTGTTTCAAGTATTCAGTAAGATGTCTTATTCAGATAGCTAAGTAAGTTCTAACATAAGATTATAGTTGAGATTATTAACTTTATATATATAGGCATCTTTATATTGATATTCTCTTACATCTATGTTTAGTTTTATTATATAATAGATACAAACATTCTTCAGATCATCAAATTCTGCAAGAAGTTAAGATTTTGATAAAGAGATACACTGAAGATTATAACATCTTACAACTGAAGATTTTATCATTGTATAGTGACATAGATCACTGTCTATCATGACTTTCATATTATACATGTTATTAATCACAGTAGATACAAGAATTACATTTATTATTATTTTCTCTTTAAATTATTATTATCTGATCTCTTCAAGCTTCTGTTTATAAATTTGAACAGAAGCTAATCTTTTCTCTGTTTCACTGAGACATTTTTATAGTTATCTTCTGAATCTTTCTTTACTGCAATGTGATTAATATGAACAGATACTGATTCATCTTTTGAATAAGAAGATACTGATCTTTCTCTCAATTGAGAAGATATATAGGTCAATCAACAGTTAAAAGCAATGTACTCTGATTGATTACAGTTGATATATACTTCTTGTTAACATCAATCAGTAACTTCTTCAGAAGTGATATCAGAAACTCAGAAGCCTATTCAGACAGCAGAGACTCTTACTTATATATAGATATTTGAGTCTACTTAATTTATAATATCTGTATTATTGTTATTCTTCAGCACAGATATATAAGTCACTGAGATATAACATCTTCTATCACTGTTCTATATACTCTTGAGCTTGATAAGATGATTATTCAATGTCTGAAGCTATGTGCAGAAGTCTTTATAAGTCTGATCTTCATCTACACTTATAAGAATTTGTAAGAGTTTGAAAGTTAATATCTTCTTAAGTATAC